AGAGGCAGCGGGAAGAGCTGTTTATGAGATGTAAGATGACGCTTATGATTATGCGAGTGAGTGTTTCGATGAATCGCAGGAGGTTGTGTGAGGGAAGGAAAGGCTTAAGCAGGCAAAGTGTATTTATGTCTGAAGGGAGTAACAACACAGAGCAGTTGGATGTGTCTCCTAGTGCATGTTCACGTCCATGTATATATATATCTATGTGCGTGTGTGTGTTGGAAAGACATATGTGTGTGCGTGGATGAATGCGTAGACTGCTGCAGTGTGTATTACCTCCCAGCCAGGACACAGCAGAGTCTGGTTTGCTGACAACAGCACCTCTTTGGAATCACAGCTGACCTCCAGCTTACTTGCGTGCACACACTCGCATAGATTTCTTTCTGTCGAGCCATCAGAACAGTTGTTGTAAATATCGTAAGGATGCCATTCATTAATCTTTTTCCTCCTTAGCGTCAGCAAAGTTCCTCTGCTGTCTTTTTGTTTATTTAATTTGATGCAGCAAAGCACCGTCTTACTAAGATGGATTTGTTGTTTAGTCACTTGTCACTTGATTTAATGTCGCCGACACACAACACGGTGTCTCGCCTTTGCAGTTAACACTCATAGCTACATGAAACTGATAGCCATGCCCTATATTTGTGATATGCATACAGCACTACCATATGTTTAGGTTATTAAATGACACAACAACAACAACTGACTTGGCTATTTTGGCCGAACATAAGGCTGCAGCAATGAATAATGTCGCCTGGTCTGTGTGTTGTTGTAACGATAGACCAGGATGAATATAAGAATGAGTATTTCAGCTGGGCAGAGTTCAGACAAGTTCCTTAATGATTTTATCTCCTAATATATGAAGGTCACATCCCTGCTGCACATATAAAATGTTAGATTACAAGATGATATAAAGACTAATAGGTTCTTCTTCTCCACTACTGAAACTAAATATGGCACTTAAGGGATACAACTCTCTCAACATGCACAGAGGCAAATTGAAGGATAGAGTATTAAATATATCTCCAACCTTTTAAAAGGTAAATTGGCGATAAATGTTTCAATTACACAGTCCATGAGAGCCTTCCCCTCATGTTTAAATAGGACTCATTCCAAAAGCACATATATTGTACATAAAACCAAACGCTGCATGTATTCAGCCTTTTACATGTTCAGTTCTTTACTATAAAAACGTGATGGATTCAATTTATAGCACTTAAAAGTGTTTGAAAACAAGTTTATAAAAATCATAAAGTCAAGCCAACATCATAATCTGGATAGACACATGCTGCAGTGTGGGGATTTTATAGATGTAGTTCTCTTGAAATGAAATCTGTGGTGCATCAGTCAGCTGTCAGGTGACGCATACCTGTTTCCAGTACCCTGCTGCAGGACAGATTTTTCTTGCTGGGATCATGCTGAGGGATCTGGCTGGCAGTCAGCAGATTAGCCTGATGTGATCTGAGCAAGCACTCGTTTCACTCTGCCACGCCCTCACCTCAGATGCCTTTTGGACGTGGATGACAAAGCAATAATTAAAATTGAAAATGCAAATTTATTATGAATAATTAGTCTTATGTTGCAATTAAATCAGAAGATAAATGTTAAACAGTGACAGTGTGGAGCATCCATCTTCAGTCACTCATCTCTGGCTGGATAAAAAAGCCGACCATATGTTCGCCACTGTATTATTATCAAAAACAAAGTAGCTGTCATTTAGGTCACTGTCACAGCTTTTGGAGCGTCACTGCCAACAAATGGCTTCCAAACGCGTGACTCCTTAAGATGTTATCAAGTTCTTATCCCTGTCTGCGGCCGCGGCTGTAGGAACTGACCTAATCCCACAACTTGGAGCACTTCTGAAAGCCGAGCCTTTCTTTGCCAATTTGACACAATTAAAAAATTTATAAGAAACAATAGAATATAAGATAGAAACAATATCAGTGGGATTTTTGTTATTATTATTATTATTAGTAGTAGTAATAGTATTATTATTATTATTATTATTATTATTATTGTTATTATTTAAATGGAAAACAAATGGAAAGATGCATCATTTACCAAATTTTTGTCCAAAGCTGTGACATACTAGCCGTCTTTCCTTGTATTAGTAAAGACTTTGCAACTTCTTGGAGGAAAAAAAATATAAATAAAATGTGAATTAGACCTTTAATTGAACTGTTTTGGAACAAATAGCCCACACTGTAAAAAATGTATTTTCACCAGTTTAACGTCCTTTTTTTAACATTTAATGTCATTTTGCAGACTCCTGTTATATTAAATTACAGATAATAACTATTAAATTCAAAGGGGGAAAAAAAATGATTTATTTGCAGGGTAACCATAAAAAACTGTAAGTAATGTCCACATCAAAACTCTGTATAAATAGTATTTTGTTCTTTAACAATGTGTCACCATAAAATTACACAGTTTTACTGTTTCTACTTCATAGATATTTGCAGTTATTTTCGCAATTTTGTCAGTTGTGTTCTACCGATTTTTTTAGCATATTTTTACCGGCAACCTTGCATCCAGACCTTCACCAGTTTTTGTTTTGTTTTTAACAGATTTTCTTCTTTTTTTTTTTCTTTGTTTTTTTCCAATGTCGACTGCCTAGCCTCATCAGACGCTGGCACTGTGGGCTACACTGTGGGCTGCATTATGCACGGCTGTAATAAATAGAGTATGAGAAGCTGAGACCAAACCAGTTTATCAACCACTAAAAAACCTCAAAGAGAAAAATGAAGGGAAACCTTTTGGAAATGTTTTCAATCAGGACAGTCGTAATATTTCCTTTATGTCAGCCGGTACTCGACATAACGAAAAAAATGGAGGTTGTGCTTGTTCCCTGTATTTGATGATTTGCCTAAACTCGAGTGCTTCGGAGGACATGCTGTACCGGTCCGTTGCATTTTAGTGGTATCAGGTATGTTCGTTATTATGACGGCGATGCTTGATTAGTCAAGGGAAACCGCATGTGTCTCTTCACCTTGAGACGTAATCAAAACCAATTTCTACTACACCAGGGACCTTGAGTTCTCAGTGATTCTGTTTGTCCTTCATGGTGCCCTGAAGGGCCAGTAAAGGCGTCATGTACAGTACTTGAGGGCTCAACGAACACTGATAGAAATGTTACCTCTGCTCATTAGGGAGGTCGAGGAGGGCATGGACACCCTAAAGTCCCCAACAAGAGCTTCTGTTCACGTCCTCCGGGGAGAAAGGGTGTAAGATGAGATATTATCTTTACTACTTAGTGCTTATGGTGATTACCTAATGTCCTTTAGGGCCCTATCAAGGATCTATTGTTAGAGATGCAGCCACCCAGTGTGGCCCCTTAGGGTGCAACTCAGCAGGAGAGCCTGCTGTCAGATATTATCAGTACGTCAAAGGGACAGTCGCTGCTGTAGGGAGCCTGCAGGGTGCATTTCTGTTTAAAGGGCAGGAACAGAAAAAGAAAGGAGAGGAGAGATTCTCATGACAAAGGGTCTCATGTAAACTCAGTCCAGACAATCACTGACTCATGTTGAAAAGAGACTAAATAAATGTTGGCCTCGCACAAAGAAGTGAACATAACAATATCCAAGTACCTAATCAGTCAAATTGGGTTTGCAAGAGAACAAAAGAAAATCTTCTGATTGTGTCGGTTTTCACATTTCATTTCTCCTCTACCGTCACAGTCACTCCTGTTTGGCATTAGTGTCTTTTTTGGCAGACTTACTGTTAGATCTCTGCCATACTCGCATCTCTCTTTCTTTTTTGGTCTGTCTCTCCATCAAGCACATGCACGATCAAGGTTACAGTGTCGGGGCGGGAATGTGAGACGGTTGTTACATTCAAAGTCGGTAAGAATCGAGGGAGGTGGTGGAGGACAAAGGAGAACTCGAGAGAAAGATGAGCAAAGGGCCGTGATAATAATAAAATGGTTTTTTACTATAAAACATGATGAGGTGGAATGAGAGCAAGAACAAGTGGAAAAAACCGTATGAGAATAAAGACCGACAAAAAAAAAAAAAAGAGTCAAAAACAGCTGAGCGAAAATGGTAAAAGAAGAAGAAAAACGATAGAGGGCAATATCGTTTCCTATCTTCCATTAATAATTCAGTTTGTATCGATCCACCTGAGCACTTCTTGATGCATTAGAAGTGTGTGTGGTTGTGTTAAAGAGGCAGAACACACATGCACACAAAAAGCTTGCATAATGTCAGCTGTTGTTTTTCTAATGAGGTGAGTTTGACCGCCTCAGACACGCACACACACACACACACACACACACACACAGAGTATATATGGGAGGTGTCCAGGCACTTGGGCATAATGTGAATGACCTTGTGTGAGTGTGAGTTGTGTAGGAGTGTTATATAAATCCTGACGTGCCTGTCAGTGAGTGTGTTTTTGAATCTCGTGTAAGGACACATCTCAGCCGCCTCCCTGTTTCATGCCACACACACACACACACACACACACACACACACACACACACGTCCTTGCTTATGGAGGAACATCGAAGAACAAAAATGCCACTGCACACACCCTTCTATCTGATCAGCAGGGAGTAGCAGAGCTCTGCAGCCTAAATAACAATCTGCCCACCCAGAGTGGCGCCACTAACTACAACATTGTGTATTTGTGTGTGTGTGTGTGTGTGTGTGTGTTTGTGTATGTGGAAGACTTTTGTGGATTGTCATTTGGCACAAGGGAAAATAAACTCATCATACTGACAACTGACGTTCACATTTCTTTCATTCGATTTCACCTACATTTCACTAAAAACTTCCTCAGCGCTTGATTTCCTCTCCGTCTCTCTCTCGAACGTGCACACAGTTTACAAAACCGTGTTCATTGTTAACATCATTATTGTCATTCTTCTTCCCTGTTTTGACTCTTGCTGCACGACACTCACACACACACACACTCTCCAAGGTCATTTTGTCAGTATAGGAGGAGAGTCGAAGAGTACGTGATGTTCTAATCGAGTTGTCCTTTTCCCCTCTCTGACTCTGCAGCTCCCACCTCTCCTCAATATCCATCCTGCCCGCTGACTCTGCTGAGTAAGTCCACACTGACATACATGAGCACCTCTTCATGTTCACTCAGCCATATATGCATGACAGCTTCACAAGTGGATGCACAGCTAATATCCTAAAGGAACACACTCTTAATACACAATATATATTGACGTTTACACACATGAAGCTGTGATAAATTGCAGCTAAACTGATAAAAAAAGTGGTGTGATGAATCGTGTGACTAATGGTGCAAAATCCTAAATCAGTTTCTTAGAAATCTGTGTCATATAACAATGTGATTATAGAAAAACAGTGTGTATGGGAGAGCCAAGTTAGCCGCTAGTGTGAGGAAGCAGTAAAAGACCCATCTGCTCGAGACGCACAAATAAGTACCAAAAAAACCCAAATAACGTTTAGGCAGTGCTGAGAGGGAAGTATTGGAAAGAACAGGTACAAGGTTAAGAGGAACAGATAAGGAGGAAAGCAGGCCTTGTTTTGATTATGAAGCTAAACTAAAGCATTTTGCATGCCTTGGTGCTTCCAGAGCCGCAGGGACACGAACTCAGCAATCACATGACTGTCAGGCCTCTGCTTCCTCACTACATGATGTGGAAACAGAATAAAATAATTATCGAAGGTGCTGTGCAATAATATGGGTTCACTGACCTCAAGGCTTTTCTGAAACCTCAACGTGACCTCTGTAAATGGTTTTGCTCCGCTTACTGTCATGTGTTAGAATTAGAGAATATTTTGCACTTTTGCTTGAAAAAATACTTGTATAATTAATCAAAACACTGGACTATGTATTTCTTAGCTGCTATGATTATGCTCCTCAGAGTTGCTTTCACCACATTTTTTTTAATAAGCCAAAAAAACATATGCCTTTTATATTGAACTCAATGTTTACTGTCAACATCATCTAATAAAACAAAAAAAAAAGTCATTTAAAAAAGCAAACGGCTGGATGCATGTCAGAAATATTCAGTAAAGCAAGACAATGTAATTAAATAAACAGTTTTAAATACGTGCTGTGTTCTGGATAATCCGTTTGAATAGCTTTTGCCGTTGCATGCTGCCATTTACTCACATTATGAAGCACTTAAAAAGCATTAAAAATCACAACTTGTACCCTACAAATTAAATACATAAATAAAAATACAGCTTCCAGCTTGTAGGCAAAATGTGTCACTCGCATTTTGCTCTGCGTTTCATTAAACAGAGACTCGGTGCCTTTCGTGGTAATGTCCGAGCACATTTCCAGAAATGCGTCAGGAGTACGAGGGCTCTGGTTACCTTGACAGGCGTCTGTCTCTGAGTGTGATTCATGCCTTCACCTTGCTCTGGCCACCAGGAAGCCGACAGTAACGCACACAATGCCTCTGTTCACCGTGTGTGAATAAAAAAGACTGCAAGCGCACCGTCTTTTACTGCTTATGTGTTTGTTTCTGGTTGTGGCCGTACGTCTGTGATGTATCGGTATTATTAGCTGAGCTTCATGCAGAGGCTGCTGTAAGTGAAGGTGAGCATGTGGCGCACAGTTTGTGTCCGAATGTGTGTTTCTATATTCACCGCTCACACACATTTATTTGACCCAATGTGAGTTTTTGCCTTAAATGGACATAGCAAAAAACCCAAACGCAGTTATGTCCCGGCGCCAGGTCGCCCATGTGTGAATGCGTCGTAGACACCTGACACAACCAGCATGATGTCGCTGTTAACTGTATATTTAGTGGCACAAAGCAAATGTAATGAAAGAACAAAAACAGCTAAGTAATGTAAATGTGCAAATTAAAGGAAAAAGTAGATGTGACACAGATGAAACCCGATGAAGAGAAGAAGCCAATGAGCAGTTGGTGTGGAGGAGTTGGAGCGAGCTGGGTGTTTTCCCATTTAATGTCTTTTCCTACCGGCGCTGCAACCTCTACTGCTGTCTAAGCTGGAATAGTGACAAAGCTAACAGACTGCAATAAGCCCGAGTAAATGAGGGAGGAATACATTATCATCACACAAACGCGGTCCAGCAAATGAAGCCAGATAAATGAAATCGCAGTAGAGCCTGTGGATAAACCGTTCCATGTCAGCGTAGGAGAGGTCAGCGTGTGACTGCTGCTGTTACCTTTTATAGGCCGTAACGTCCTCTCCTCCTGTCTCCTCCCGTCTCCTCCTGGCTCAGTTTAAGCATTATTAATCCTTTTAGAACTGGAACAGGTTATTGACTTAATAAGGACTGGTTAAATAGCTCAGAATGGAAAAGAAAGCATTTCGGTGATTAATAGTCTCATTCCTTTCAATATTACCCTTTCAGTAAATGTCTCTGTGTGTTTTTGATTGCCAGATATTCAGCAACAATGCACTCTTTTTTTTATCAGAAGCTCAACTCATTTGTCCCTCCATTGATCAGTCGAGGCCTTTCTGTACATTCATTGAGGCTGACAGTTGGGATTTTGTGACGAGGCGCTCATGTGGTTCCAGAAATGCAGGTTTAACTTGTGCATCACGACCGCTAAACCTTAGCCTGAAAACAAACATCTTCATTAAATGGGTGAACAATCCACTAAGCTTATTTGATTCAGTGCAACTGAGCTTAAGAGCACATTGCCATGTCGAGACACAACGCAGAGCATTACACGTAAGAGAACGTTTGTAGAACAGTCGTGGAAGTTAGCAGTTTTTGTCCTGATTGGAAGTATCACAGAAAACTCAAATTTGCAGCACTGTACTGATGTAGCTTTGGTAATTTGTAGGAGAGTTTTCTCATAGTATTTAGTAGATTTTTGATGTTCTATGGAGCGGGAACAGTTTTTTTTCAGTTGTATTTTATTTTACAAGGCCAGGAGCAATTTATCAATTTCCAGCCCTGAATACACCTTTTACTAAAATGCCTAAAGTATTATTTTTTTTAGCAATCAAAACAGCTGTAGAGTTTGATGTCATTTAGTTTTTATCTACCTGATGCACCACAGGTTGGAGAAGCATGCCCTGCAGCAGTGGTGTTTGGTTTATGGTTATGGCTCACTTTATGTGGATTTACTTGGATATTTTTGTTGGCAATTGTGAGATTTTTCCTTGTGTGGAGTAAAAATACTGAATAAACAGAGAAAACATGGTCACAGGATCTCATCCAAAGTAGTTAGGTAAACTCAGGTAAACCTTTGACTCCACTCTGTTGTGGTCTGTTACAGTTTAACCTCATTACTGTTGAGCTAAACTCTCTCCTGCACTGCCACTCAGTAATGAACATGGCTTTAAAAAGAGACGCTCATAGTAGCTGTCGACCTTGTCAAAGTTTAGAAATCATAGCCTTCATAAAAACAGCTGAGGTCCAGCTTATAAAACTAATAATTTCAAGACTGTCTGACCACTGGGGTCACCTTTGAAGCAAAATCCTTGTATTTTTTTATAAAAATCTGTGAGACTCAAAACATATAATCATGTGGAAAAAAATGTCCTTTCTTGTAAAACATAACCTTCATCACACACTAAGTCGACAGGTAAATTAATCTGACGGATTTATTTGTGCTCTACCAGGATAATTCAGCGAACCATCAGAGCTGCAGTGGAGCAGCACTTCTTTGAGCTGAAAACCTCCATCGACCAAGACCTCAGTAACTACGACAGCCAGGGGTAAGAGTGCACACGGAAACACACAACACAACACAACCATATGCATACGTACATAAAAACCACATGCACTTGGATCAAGTTAAATCAGACGATAGATTAGTTTGACACCTTTAGGAAAAACCCCTGTTGTTGCACCTGCTGGTAGAGACGTGTGTTACACGGATTCCTCGGTGGTTGAAAGTGGCATCAGATGACTTTAAGAAACATATTTGCCATAGCGTACATTGCGTACAAAGGGACAAAGCAGGCCAGATGGTTCAGGTTACCAATAAACACGCAGAGAGCTGTGATGCTAACTAGCAAACTCTACTTGTTGACGGGAACAGCTGTTCAGTGGTCAGTCACCTTTAAGACAAAACAAAATGTCACCGAGTAACAAACATCCAGGAGACGCACACCATGAATATGGGACGTACTAAAATAAGAAATTTTTGCCACTCCACATAGCAGCCACATCGGTATGGTGTTATTTCAGTGGACGGTTTGGTATTTGGACCTTTGTTATTTAAACTGTTGATACTTTGATTGTTTTATTAAAAATGTTCAATGTAATTTTCCAGGGAAAGTCCCAGTGAGCCTGCAGAACAGGGTTGCCATGGAGACGAGGAGCAAACAACTGACCCTAAGGACAGTCCCTGCGACACGGAAGAGGAGACCCCACTCAATCAGACCGAGCAGCACATACAACAAAGTCAGAAAGACACACAGGTCAGTGGGACATCAAACACACACCCAAAGAAACCGCTTACAGTCATCAGGTAAATCTCTAACATTGTTTATTTGGTACCTTAATGTAACACTGCCAAAAATAGGATCTCACCCATGCACACAAACTGTAAGCAAAGTCAGTGGAGTGGAGTCTCCCCCCTCCCCAAGAAAACTCACAATACATAGATCCAAACAAGTTTGTGTGTGGGCTCGCAGCATATTTCCCATAGCCAGCCTCCTTCCTGTCTCAGTGTGTCAGTTCATTCCGAGGCTGAATGTTTGATATTATCAGCACAGACTATCTTTGTTCTGCTCTGATTGCTACAATAGCTGGAATTCTACCGGGATAGCAAGAGAGCAAGAGACAACAACAAGCCTGTTTCACAAATACACACACTTGGACACACACAGATCGATGAATACACAATGACATACAGGCAAGGTATTGTTCTTATTAACATACAGTCAGGATTAAATGACGTAAGGCCTGTGTCAGCTCCCACGCTTTAACCAGAGCAAAGTTTTCCATCTACAGTAAGCCAGGAGAGACTAAGTGTAATTGTTGACAGTGTTCACAACAAGGGAAATTTCGATAAGACAGGATTACATGTTTGAATCACAGTCCCACATCTTGTATTTAACACATACAGAAAATGTCTCAGCTGTGCCACCTGTACATCCGTCTTTTATCTTTCAACTTAACCATCTGGAAGGTACGAATGTTTCTCCTTATTTAAGATTTTGCTTTAGGGAGCCACACTGGATACATGTTGTTTTTTTTTTTTTCAGTGTGCCACATACAATTTTAGTAAAGCTTGTCACAGTGAAAATCAAAACCCCTCAGTGCTGCTTCCCCCCCTGAGCCTCAGTGGCTCTTTTCCCAAGAACCATTTTAGCGTGCAGATGGAGAGGTGAGGAGCAGACAACATGGCAGACGGAGTGAGATGTGTCCCAGGACTGAAGAGAAACCTGTCACTTGTTTAAACAGTAATTTGGAGGAGTTTCTTTAAATAGATCAGCCAGAAGCCAAAGAATGACAGCTGCATCTTTGCACCAAACTACAACACAGACACACACCGTTTACTGTCTGTACATAAAAGCAGTCTAACGTGTACGTACAGTCGATCATACGTTCACACAATGAGACGTCATACTGCTCCTCATTCCAGCGCATTCAGTCCAAAAGGGTTGCAAAACTCAAAACCTTTCTTTTCTGACCAGAGCGGTTCAGTTCAAGAGGAGTTTCAGTGTTAATGTTTAGAACCTAAAATGAATAAACTAGTTTATTGCAGTGAAATGTATTAGTTTAGTGGCGCCATGACTTGTCTTAATGTTGGAAGTTTGCACTGTAAAGGGGAAAAGATGTAATTTGTTATGAATAGTCATCATTTTCTGGCTAATTTATGGATTTAGGTGCAACATTTCTGAGTGGTAATCTGTATTGTTTTTATGCTGGATTTCTAACATTTCGGATAAAGTAGAAAAACTGTGCTGTGAAAAAATGAAGAATCTGTGTGTGTCTGTGTAAAATTTGGATGCACAGTATCCACTCATGTATCGTCGAGTTTCTTCCAACTTATTTAGTTTCAGCTTCTGATTACTGTTCTTACTGTGTCAAACACAAGAAAATTCATTTTAAATGGTTGCTGTTGCTTTTAGAATTCCCTGGACTCTGTCACCCCCCTGGAGGAGAGCTCAGGAATGGACCTGGATGCAGAGGCTATCAGAGATGACGAGAACAACTTTAACACTGCCAGGTGAGCTCTTCCACTCTTTTTTAGCTATTAAAACATCAGCAGCAATCTGCCTTCAGCAAGTTTAGTTTAAGCACAAAGAGCGCCGCAGCCTTGAGCATGAGCAAAGAGGGAGTGATGATGTTGTGCACTGATCATTTGACACTTGATGTTTACAAATCACTTCGACATGCTGTCTCAGCAGGAGCTCATTTTACGCTGCATCTGAAACACGTCTTTATCTCAGTCTCTCTAGCACATAACACATTTTAATTCTCACTGCATTTTTGTGTAGTTTGACACGTCATGCAGTATCACACCTCCAGCTTGTGGTTGCTGACAAGCATAGTCAGTGCACCACAGTCACTAAGGAAGGCCGGTGCTTACGTGCTGTTTCACACCTATTTATTAAAAATGGGAAGAATTTACAAAGTAGACAAATCGTTGATTTCGGTTGCAGTTGAAGCAGCAGCAGCTTTGTTAGTTTTTCCCACAACAAATTATTCATGACGTGAACATATTTTTAGTTGTGTGACTGTGGTGTGACTCTTCCTCAGCTGTTATTCAGACCTTCCACAGACTAAATAGTGCAGTAGCAGCATGATTCATCAGTACTGGTCAGAGCACTAACCAACAACTTAAGTATTTTAAAAAATATGTCTTCTGGGAAAGTACTGAAGTGTTTATCTGCTTTTGACTTCTGTATTATGTTTCTAATCTTTGTTTTCAGGCAGGACAATCAGCCCCTTGTCACGATGGAGCAGACTGTCACCATAACCTGTGTAAGTAGCATAACATGGGAATATATTACAATGCTTGTCTCTGTGTTCTGTTTTGATTTCTTTTTTTCCAAAGGAATCTTTTACATTTTAATTCAATTACAAGCTCAGGAGAGTAATTTGTTTTTATATCTGTACAGACATTTGGCAAATTACTACCTCTCTATGCGCTTTCTTTCCTTTCTAATTAATTTCTTTCCTGTTCGTCCCACATCCACACCTTTTCCCGGCTTTTGTACACGTACCTTCCATTATTTGTGTTTGTTTTCTTCATTTCTTCCCCCGTAATTGATTTCTGTAATCCCTCTCTTTCCTCCTCCAGGACTCGAGTTCATGCTGTTGTGATCAGAACGCCAACACCAGCGAGAACAACAGGAACCACCTGTCGCCATGCCAACCAAACTCTGGCCACAACCCTCACCTCCAACTTTTTCCCGACAACCAATGGGAAGGTGTGTGTCGCTTTGTCTCCAGTATCCCAACATGCTCTGTGCAGCATTCATTAAAAAAAATAATAATTTGAAAAATCTAGTTTCAACCAATCAGGAAATGCACAAAACAACATCTGGTGCAAATATGTGATGAATGTGTTCATTTGTAGGTCTTCAAAATGCATTAAATCCAAAGAACTCTCTCAATGGTATTAGTTATTTTTGCCCTAGTTTGGTGCAGTAATTATGCATGGTTAAATAGCTCTAAAACCTGTTGTCTGTGGGTGTGTAGAGGCTTAAAGGTTCTATGTTTAATTTAGAAAAACCTTCTAAATTAAATATTGAAAAATTGAAATTCATGACTGAGCATCCCATGCATTTTTAAATGTTTCCCAAAGATCTTTACTGCATTGCTCAGTGTGTTAAACTTTTATGAGCTGTCATCCTCTTCATTTCCCCGTGTTTCTGTGAAATATCCAGTGTGACTGATGAAAAACTTGGTGTCCTACATCGTTTGTTTACAATTAAACCCACCTTTCACAGACATCGAATGAATGCTGGTGAAGTTGTTACCTCACAGCTCCTCTTCTCTGTTATCTCTCCTTCTTCCTTCTTCCTCCTCTCCTCTTCCTCCTTCCACCCAAACAGCGTCACCCCCCTCCCATCTCCACCTCCCTCCCATCGACTTCTCATGTATGCATCTGCAAAAGGAAGGCCAAGGTAAGTAGTTTCATATGTGTCCGCTCATCCACCCGCTACCCATCCCTCCTTTCATCCCTTCTCATTGATTTTTTATGTTGGTTGTTTTCCTGGTGTGGACACGGTACAGGAAGCTAAATTAAAATAGTCTCACATTTTAAAATGTGCTTCTGTGATACCCGTCATGAATAAATCCCTGCATGTGAAACGCTCTTCCTTCCATCAGATTTAATAAGGTGCCGGCGGACTGTTTTTCTTTTCATCTTTACTCTTCCCTCCTGCTGCAGGGTCACTGGGCAGATTGATCAGGACACCTCTCCTCTCTGATTACACTTTCTACTCTGACTCTGCCTCACCCCCGTCTCATTATTGTCACGACCCCTACGACACGCTCTCCTCCTCCTTTTTTTCCCTTCGACTCAGCTCGTTAGCATAGTGCTGACAGTCAAGACACCGTTAATCAGGCTTAGAGTGAGTCAGCAAGGTGCTGAAGAAGAAATTGAATTTGTTGTTGAATGTATCATGTGTGGGTCTTGATATGTACAGCACCTATCAAGTATATAATACGCTTGTTAGCAAGGGATCAAATTAGTCTTTTCTCTCCCTCCTTTCCTGACCTCCTAACTTGCTCTGACTCCTCTCTTTATTTCTTTTCTCCTTTCTCCAGACCCCGTCCCAGCTTACAAATCCTGGCAGGACGACAACGAAAGTGGAGAAGCGCAGCTCTCCCCCCTGGCTGGGCGCATGGTTCCTCTCCCCCCGCTACCCTTAGAGGAGGATGGCGAGGAGGAAGAGGGGGAGGGAGGGCAGGATGACTCCCCTTCCTCTTCCCGCTCTCACCCTCACCTTCTGGCACGACGCTTTCTCGATTTTGGAGCGCATGGCGCCCAACGATTCCTCCAGCAGGACCTGGACGCCACCTCACCCACCAAAGCACAGAGGTACGATGGAGCACCGACATCCAGACGAGCTCGCAGACTCTGTTTCTGGTTTAAAAGTTTACGATCACACCTATAGTCATTCTCTTTGGTACGTGTTAGAGCAGAAATGTGTGGATCATATCGAGTTGTTTGTTCTTACTTGTGTATCCTCAGGCCGAGGCGAGCATCGTTTGGCTCCAAAGAAGCAATGAGAGGAGATTCAGTGACCCACCAACTCACCAAGAAGCTTCAGCATCTGAAAAAGAAAATCAAACAGTTTGAAGAGCAGTTTGAGAAAGAGAGGAACTATAAGGTAAAAACAGACATGTGGAGTGACTGTCGTATTTTCTATATTATCACCAAGCAATCAAAGGGGTTGAAAATAAAAACAGCTACACTAGTGTTATTTAAAAATGGTTTAAAAAGTAAATTCTGCTCTCAGTCATAAATATAAAACTAGCTTGTAGTCTTTTTTTTCTATTCTAGCTCTCATCCTTTCTTTCTCTCTTCATATCGTAATTTAGCTGATGAAATCCTGTAAGACTTTCTTAAGTTTAAAAACTATGCATAAATAATGAAGACCCAAAACATGAATTGATGTTGTGCATTGTAAAGTAGTGCTGAGGACTGGAGTCTGTTGGGTGACATAGTGTAGCAAAAAATTTTTAAAAACTAGGCGCAACATATTTTCTTTACTTAAATCAGTCGATGAGTTGGCTTTGATGAGGCATTTTGAGCATAAAACCTGTTTCGTTCTGACATTAGTAACAAACATTAACAGCCTCTAAACAACCTTTGAAATTCGACATAGTTGTAAACCTCCAAGGTGACGTTTCGTTTGATTTATTGCCTGCTGAAGGCAGTCGCAGGTCTGTCTAAGGCTTTCCAAGCAATAACATCAGTGGCTAAATTGCTGCTGTAAATTCCGTTTTGTATTGCCTTGACCTTTTCTCTGAAATACCAATGCTTGCACTGTGATTTCTCTCCTCTTGTCATCTTTTAGCCCTCGCACGGAGACAAGGCAGCTAACCCCAAAGTCCTCAAGTGGATGACTGACCTGACCAAGATCCGCAGGCAGATTAAAGGTAGAGCTGCTCGTTCTTTTTCTATGAACGTGCTTCGGTGTGAGTGTGTGTGTGTGTGTGTGTCGGGGTTAGAGTGCTGGACTGTTTGACCCTCCCCACGCCTAACCTTTGACCTCTGTAACAACATCGCATGTATGCTGGTCTAACAAACATAAGCAGACATGCACATGTTCGGGGTTGACGTGGCTCTCACATGCGTGGCTCCCACCCTCCAATGTGCTGGTGCGTCCTTGTGAACCCACATTCATTACCTGCAGGTTGCGTTCAGTAAGGTGAAGCAGTGGAAAATACTCAGCTACACGGAAACAAAAGTATAAAAACGATTCAAATTAGGTTGCGGAAACTTTAGTTTTTTTGATAAGCTGGTGTTCACTGCCAGCAAGCAAGCATAAGCACTCGTTCAGACGATGTATGACATATCCGACATCTAGAATTCCTTCCCTACACCTTGACGTGTCTCTGCCCCTCTGAATTGTTTCACCGTGCTGAACAAACCCCAGGATGCTCGTCCACCTCCTCTTTGCGAGGCGACGGCTCTCCTTTTCGGAGAACACAGTGGCCGAAACATTTCTCTCTGTTTCAAATCAAAACTGAAAAACAATAACGCGAGCACCCGCTCTCCACTTTCCTCCTTCCTCCTTTTATCGCACATCGGCCGTTTGATTGATTGATCGGCCAACCAGGACGCCAGCACCACCTTTTACCCAGAAGCACGCTGAGGCACCAGGCTTTGCTCCATTCACACAGACGCCACCATGCTCCCTCCTCCCCTTCCTCCTACTCCTCCTCCTCTATCTGCTCACCTCCCCATCACACACTCACCCCCCCGCTCCACCCCTACTCAGGCCTGAGCTCTAGACCGTTTCACCTCAGTAAGTACAAACCCCTCAGTAAGTAGACATTGCAAACACTACTGACAGTCACAATGAGGCGTCTTTCTGAGAGCATCTTGCTTCCTTGTTTTGGTGTGTTTCCTCTTGAAACAGCATGTTGGCACGGGATATTTGATGGAGAGATGCCTTTTTCAAGAGTGTAGCAACGTGAGGGAGAGAACAGAGTTGGGGTTTTAGTTTTAAAACAAAAACATGTTTGTAATTAGACATGTTCAGGTTTGGACTGTTGGCTGTTAAGTGTATGTCAAAATATTTATGTATGTTAAACTTTTGACAAAGTTTTGTTTGTACCAACTATTGAACTGAAACTTAAATCTCACACATAGAAAAAATGATTTAATGTATTGCAGTGACAACCTATCTAGAGCTGCTTGAATATTTACGGGCAACAACACAAGGTCAGGCTGCCCCAGAGACTTCTTTTTTTTTTTTAATGATTTCACAGTCAGTGTTCTAAAAATATTCAGGAAAAGGTTTTGCTCTCTGTATTTGGGTTTTTACTTGGTGTGGTGTCATATTTTTATTCAGGGTGTGTTGTCCAAGCATGTTTTCTCCTTATTTTTAATTGGCTCACCTTAACCATGGCTGCCATCTAATAGATTCCTGCATGTCTGATTGTTCAGTGAAAGATATTTCATGTCCTGTTCTGAGCTCTGTTTTCATCCCTCGTTTATACTTGACCCTCTCTGTCCCCACTATTTTATATCCTGTCCCTCCTCATCAATGTGTTCTGTCTTCCCCAGATGCCAAACATCGTGCTGAAAGTGAGCTCGGCCCTCAGACTCGCCCTCGGAGCAACACCTTGCCCAAAAGTTTCGGCTCCACGCTGGATCACAGCACGTACGATGCAGCCGTGGAGGTCAAGGGTCCACGTCCCACCAGGGAGGAGACACTGGAGATGATCCAGCGCAGAGTCAAAGGGAAGAGGCAGGAGGACGGCTGGCCGGATGACATCAAGGTGAGGAGCAGATATTTCCCAGACTGAATCACAACACACGTCAAAGTGTCTTTCATTTCCTTTAATGTGAAATATTTCTGAATCAAACTGAATATTGTTATATAGTCAAGTTATTGGGTTAGAATAACCAAATACATTCTTTAGCTCCCGTGTGGTTTAGCTAATGCAATACAATGCAGTACACAGCTGTGGAGTACAATTCACTGCTCCTTCACCAGCATTACATTATAAAACAGAGGGTAAGAGACAAATGAATACATGAGACCTCAAACTTAGTCTATGACCCACCAAGAGACAACAGATGCAAACTAGCATTTATGCTAACTCTGGCACATTTACAATATGTATTTGTTTTATGTTTGTTCATTAATGTGCACCGTCCCTTTTAAAAAACAATAAAAACTTTGCTTGTAAGTAAAACCCACAGTACTGGTCAGACGTGGTTCTACATGATGGGCTGTGCTAGTGAATCACATTTAATTGGATAAATGCATGTGTTTAAGATAAAGATAAATCTTCAAGGTCATTTAAAGAATAGAGAAGAATGTTTGATGTAAAAAATACTAAAATAGTTTTAGCATATTGAAAGAGACAACTGAACGGTGAACAGATGTGTGTTTTACAGGAGCCGATGGCTTTTTGAAAATGTACCAAAAGAAATAAACATTTTAACACGAGTAAAAATATAAAGAGCACAAACGGAAAAGCCAGTAAACAGCAGGAATTACTGAAAGAAAAGAGAAAAACTGGTGTTGCACTAATTTAAAATATACCCCTGTTCCATCTGTTCTGTTTAAACAGATCCTGCTTGAACAGGATTGCCACTACACCTGGTATCATAAACAGCTTTTTGGCATTAAATTGAGTATCAAATTGTCATTTCTCAGCTCACTGATTTCCACACAGGGTCTGCGGGCCACTTGTAGTATGGCTAGAATGTGCTTAGTTCAATGTTATATCACTTTTGCATTCACTGTCTTTCTGTCTCTGTAGAAGATGACCAAGGAGCAGTTGTCCTGTGAGAAAACCGTACTTCAAAAGAATCTCCTGCACTATGAAGGCCTGCATGGGCGACCAGTGAGTAAACCAAAATCCTAAGTCCTGCTGAGGTTTTTTTTAAAGTTGCCTAAATACATCCATTTAAACATTTTTAACCACTTCTGTGTGTCTGCCTGCATCCAGGTAACCAGAGAGGAGCGTCTGGTGGTGAAGCCTCTCTACGACCGCTACAGACTGGTCAAACAAATGCTCACCAGAGTCAGCATCACACCCATCACAGTAAGTAAACAACACACACGTCTGTTGTCTTTGGTAGACGTGTAAATACATAAATAAGAGATGCGTAAAGTTTATTGACCTCCCCTGTCTCTCCCGTAGGTGTCCCCCTCGAGTAAAAGGCGGAGTCAAACCCTACAGCCAATCATCGAGGGTGAGACTGCTCATTTCTGGGAGGAGATCAAAGAGGAGGAGGAGGACGAGCGGAAAGGTGGAGGAGGAGAAGAGGAGGAAGAAAGGGAGGATGAGCGGGACGATGAGGACGAAGAGGAGGAGGAGGGAGAAAGCAGCGGCGGAGAGATGCAGAGCCCCGAGGTCATCATGGCCATCGACCCCATGACCCTGACCGACGGGCCAATGAGGAGCCAGAACCAACCTGACAGACAGAGCGACTGTCCGATGAGGGAGAAGGTGGAGGAGGGTTCAGGAAGGCTGGCACTGGACCTGCGGCTGTCCAGCTCCAACGCCTCGTCCATGTAAGAGCAAAACACACAAACAGCAGGGCAGCGGCAGCTAAAGGTGGAGTCTCAGTTCTGGTGAAAGATTGTTGATATTTAGATAGTTGCCATGTGCTTAGAATGGTATTGTGTTTGTTTCCCATTTACAGGAGCAGCATTGTATATGAACACCAATGTTTTTATTATTTTTTATTTTCAATTCAGTGCAAGAAATGGACAGCTAATGAGGAGATATTCACTGAAATTGCCCAAAAGTGTATTGGACTAGAATCACATACTCCATCTGTAAAGTCTTAAATTAACTTACTGACTTAAGTTTTTCAAAACCTAAAGTTTAACATCTATAAATCCTGAAATGCAGTTGAAGTGTATTTCGGGGTATCTATCAGGGAGACGGTGTCTCCTCAGCACAAAAACTAAAAAAAAAAACACACCTCAGTCTGTGTGTGCTAGAGCCTGTCCTGGGGCAATGGGAGCAAGGACAGTAAATCTGGCACATGCTAAGTATCCAAACATGCTAACTAGCTTTGTTTCTCCAGAATAACAGATCCCTTTAAATGATTAGTCAAATAATCATTAGTTGCAGGCCTGCTACATTGTCATAACTCTGGAAGGTTAATAGTAACAGTGAACAAAGCCCTGCAAGGGTCACGATGAGAATTTCTTGATTAGCGTTTCCTGGCAATATGGTTTACGTTGTTTCTGATCCATACAAACAGCTTAAATTAATGAAATAGATATAATTAGAGCTGAAAAGTCAGTCCAGACAGTGAAAGAATCGGAGGGGAAATAATTTTTGCATTTTTTGTGATGAATTATCTACCTTTTAGACTCATTATTTTTTGGTTCTGTTTTAACTAATAACTCTGGGGAAGAAAAGAAGCTCTGACTAGCTGTGACTTTGCTGAAGCAGGAATAATGTATGACACAGAAAACCCAGGTTTCATCTGCTGAGTCTAATCTGTTGAACGTGTCACTGAGCATATACCTGGAATTAACACACACACACACACACACACACACACACACACACACCTCTAATCAGCTCAGGTTTCTACATCCAGGCCTCTTACTTGGACATGATCCTGATAGCTGATCCCTCACGCCACCACAGTTCACTTCCTGCTCACATGGTCCTCCTTTTCTGTCTAGACTTGAGTCTTCTTTGATGCGTCACAATCCAAATAGTTCCTGTAGAGAAAAGAAAGATTATTTCAAGTGTCTGTATTCTCAGAATTTAACTGAGTTAAAAGCATGTGAAGTTGACAAGACTCCAATGTACTGTTAAAATGAGGTGTAACCGTGTATTTATGTGTCCCATCATCCTCCAGGCCAGAGCTGCTGGAGCAGCTGTGGAAGACCAGAGCAGAGAAGAAGAAACTGAGGAAGACCATCCGAGAGTTTGAGGAAGATTTCTATCAGCATAATGGAAGGTAGGTGGGAGAGACACACCACACTGTCTCTGGGGGAAAAAAAAACAGCCACCAGATAACAAAGCTGAGAACACAACACAAAGACAAATGGTAACTGTTCTACATTTATATGTGTCCTTTTCTAATAACTTCATTTCTGTTATATGTCAGTGCCCTTTGTTTGATATAAATCACTCTGGACTGTCTAACATTTTATTAGGCTTTTAATCATATTGTAACATCAGCAGTAGAACAACACGTGTCGTCAATACATCCCTGTCGTGTTGCAACCACAGTGAGAACAACATGAAGTGTGTTAGATTGATCCACCTCTTCATTGGCTGCATCGGCTGTAATTAGGGCAGAATGTTGCCGTGTCAGACTGCAATCAGTGCTGCTGTTCCCTGTCAGAGGCACTGGCCTGTTTGATAGTCACCAGCTGGGCACACTCTTTCTGCAATAGAGTAGAATGAAGTTTAGGGCGAAGTAGACGTTGCTAAAAAAAAAAAAAACTGCTGAAATGTTCTGCAAAGTCCCACAACCCACAAGTTTGGGAACCAGACTACACATCGCAAATACCTGTGGAGAACGGTCTCCATGTCAGATTAGGTGATAATGGTGGTTTGAAATCCTGCTTCAACTTTGGCAAGAGAAATGTCAGAATACATGTTAAACCTCAACCGAACAACTGTCGATCTTTGACAACTTGTATGATGAGAAAAGGTGTTGAGGCAGGAGCTGGCACAAACATGGAAGGTAAAACCCAACGTCTTGACACACCAGTCTGTCTGCTGGACTGGATTGTCTGATTCTGGGAAAATGCTGTCTGGAAAGAGATGATGAACGCCTTTATCACAGCCTCACAGCCTGCAAGTGGCAGGTACTTGAGAAGGGCATGGAAATGAAATCGAAGAGAGTTTTTCCACAGAGGTGGCTGTAGTCGTGCCAAGCTATGCCATGGATGGCTGCCAGCAGTTGAGCTGTGCTGGTACACTGTGAGTGCTTTTCACGGTGCTGCTCAGCAAGCTAACAACTTTTAGGTATGCTGGTCACAAACTGCAGCCTCTCGCCGGTTCTATTTATCTCTGTAATATGCAAAAATTATGTGTAGATCCAGTAAAGCTACATGTGCACATATTTGGTAGACTAAAGTCGTTTTTATGGAAGTAACGTCGCTCGTACTGACATTGGAGCTCCACTAACGGGGTGACGAACACACTGGATTTCTTATTACTTTTTGACAACAAAAACATCTGCTGGATTTTAACATGAACCAACAAGTACTGGCAAGGGTTCGTTTTGCATCTGCAGTAGCTCAGCGCAGCTTCGATATGGCTGGAAGTGATCAGTAACCAGTCTGAACCAAACACAGCAGGGAAACTAAACTCCAGCACACAGAGGTTCACAAAAAAATCTACAAAAGCAGAGAGAGCTCAACAAAGACTTTTAAAAAAGGAGTTTGTTCCCAAGTTTCTAGCTCAGATGCACAGGTTAAGCCACTGAGGAAAAGGCGACGCAGCACGACATGGAAATGAAAGCACCTGACGCCGGCTAATAGAAAAATCTTACAACCCCCTCTCTCTCTCTCTCTCTGCTCTGCTATAGGAACGTTCAGAAAGAGGACCGGGTGCCGATGCTGGAGGAGTACAGAGAGTACAAGAGGATCAAGGCCAAACTCCGTCTCCTGGAAGTCCTCATCAGCAAACAGGATTCCTCCAAATCCATCTAGACCCTCATCAGACACCTGCTACCACCACACACATCATCAGCGCCCATCACTGCAGCGAGGCCACGCCCAGGACCAGCCATCACACTCGGGAGGGTTTAATAAACACTCCAGCCAACACCAACATGCAGATTACATGACTTCCCACCTGTGTGACCTCCTCATGGTATGCTGCAGTCAAGTGATGGGGAAACAAAGTGGAAGCGATTTGGGCGCGTTCATTAAAATTGCCGCGTAGATGCCACAGTGTAGCCTCTTTGTTCACACTGGTTGTAGTCAGACCTTCACCAGTCGAGGAAAGTCTCCAGTAACGTTTTTAGGGGCTTCTAGACATTACCTGCAATTTAAATACAAGAACCAATGTAAAGTTTGAGCTCTTTGGTTGCTATTTTCACACCCATTCAGACCCTACTCCTGAAGAAGTGCTTTGTAGTGGAGTAAAAGCTATTAAACTACCTGTGACTGGTCAAACAGTCGCATTGAGTCTGTTTGCAGACAACATTCAGTTTGTAACCAAACACTGGTTGCTGCTGCTGCTGCCGTTGCTGCTGTCTGTATTAGGACTGGAAAGAAGGCTGAGCAATTAGTTAACATTAACTAAAACAGCACCAACATAGTGACCATATTGTGTCATTTAGTGCAAAAGTTACATCCCAAAGGCTTTTGTTTTTCTTTCTTAAATCAATCTAATGTCTGCAAGTAAAACAGGCTTTTTATTACACACCAAACTAAAGTAAGTTGACATTTTTAAGCGTTTCGGTCTCAAATTGTTTCTGTTTGAATGAATCTCATTTAGCTGTATGTGACTACAGCTAATCATAGAACAGCTACCTAATAAGAGTCCTTGCCAAATATCACAATCCCCAAGTTTATAAGTACTTTAAAAGTGATATTAAACATGCGATTTTACAGATTTTTTTCCCCATGACCTGATTGCAGCAGCACCACTGGTTAAATTTAAACTGGCTCATGGCTGATACCTGCTGCCTCAGTCTGACTACATATCATCTAAAGCACGGCAGCAGTTTAAAAACATGGAGGAAAAGGACTCATCACTGTGTTTGTCCTCATCGTCGTCTCACCAACTTGACTTAAGACTTTGCACTCGTGTCTCATGTCTGTTTTCCCCGTGTTCTGACGGGGAAACAGAAACACATTCTGACTTTTTAATTTCAGGAACTTTTCTTTTGTCAATCTTTGTTCTTTGAATCTTATCGGACAGCTCGAGGACTGGCATTTTAGACACTCTTCACTTAAGACACTTCTTCATTTGGGACGCCACACACTGTGTCAAGGTTCCCACTTTTGTGTCAACTTATCTCCCTTATTTTAATGATAATAATTCACCATCCTCACATCCTGGATGTTTCACCTTCTGACTGATTTTAAAATTCATTTACAAAGTTTAAAAACAAGTTTGTGAGTGTATTCTTGTTTTGTTTTTTTGTTTTGTTTTGTTTTTTACAAAAAAAAGGTGTATGCTTATGTGTTTGTGAGATGTTTTCCTGAATGAGAAACTGTTGTATTCCAAGAGAAAATGGAAAAACAACAATGATTAGTAGTAGTAACTCTGATTAAGCCCGATCCCAATTTCCTTCAGTAATTTCTATTCTTTAGTATTTTCTTCAACTTTTTGTTTTTCCCTGGAAGATGTTCATCAGTTGGCACACAGTGGTGTCACCTGTTTTTCTCCGTGACAAAAAACAATTTGAGTTCAGTTCCCTGTGAGCGTCTGGCAAGTAAAATGCTGCTTTTAGGTCGTCGTACGCTCAGACATGTGAGTTTTTAGGTCATATGGATTTGATTTTAATAGCACTTGAACGTGGCATTAGACAGAAGATGCTCATAGAAAACAGTCCAACTCAGATAAGAGTTTTTGTTGTTGATGGACACAACTGACACAGAAATCCAAATTCTCCACTTGCTGACTTTTCTCCTTGTTTTCTGTTCGTTTTGCTGCGTGAAGGCGTGGCAGGTTCTGAGGAATAGTGGGTGATAAATTGTGAAGGGACGAGCCAGTATCTGGTCCACGTTGCTTCTTCATCCCAGAATCCATAAAAGCATGTTGGCTGGTCGGTCGGCTGTTGTTGGTTAAGCTTTGATGATGTCTACGAGGTGCCAACACTGCCAGCACTGATTTAAATTGCAGCGAAACAACTCTGTCGGTGTCGAAGGTGTCGTTTGTACGTTCTACAGTGAAGCAAAGGCATTGGTTGGTCAAATGTGCAGTTCTGGTAAAGTTTGATTTCCTGCTGGCAGGTCAAATGAGGGTAGGCGAGGAGGAGAATGCCAACGAGCTCAACCTCTTCATTTTTCTTCTTCTTTGAGGCCATCTTATCTTGCTTGTAGCAGACAGAATTCGAGGTATCAGTGAGATAAAGAAATGTCCAACAGTCCCTGAATTTTGGCTTCAGCTGCTAAGTTTGTAAACCGGCTGTTTGTCATGTGATGTTTTTTAATTATTCTTGGCAGGTAAAGAGGCTGGTTACTTGCATTGTGTTTGTTTTAGGCAGATAGACACAGTTGATGTACATTTCTCTGCCTGAATCAAAGCTGACTGCAGTCTTTAGTCTGTAAGTGGACAGCAGATGTCACGGTTTGAAACTGAACCTATGAATGAGACTTAAAGTTTTTGAGATTGCGTGTTTGTGAGGAATGGGGTGGGGGTGTGGTGTGCATTTGTTGGGACAGTGAGTTAAAGGTTTGATGTAAAGAAAAAAAAAATGTTATTTGCACAGCATTCACAGAATGCAGCCCTTTTGAGTTTTTTTCATTTGTATTTCTAGAAATGAAGCACTACTTCTATACAAATATAAATATATACTGTACATAAGAAACACCCGAAGGAATGAATGTCAGAAATGTTTAAATTATTTCAAACATTACGTTTGGCCCCCTTTGGTTCATTACATTTGTGATACCCTGAGAATGTGTTTTTTTTAATTATAAATATTGCTAATACTATCATAACCATTATTTTGTGTGATAACGACAACAATAATAATCCTTTTGTATCTACTCACTAACTGTAAAACCAGCTGTAGACGTTAGTCTGGCACTGTGTGTGGAAGATCACACATGAACCTGCTCTGTTTTATGAATTATTTTATCGCTCTGTGTAATATAAGCTAATATAGAAGCAGTACTGTAGTGTGCTTGCATGGCAAACGAGAACATAATAGTATAAAAAAAATCATGATGTATTGTTTCCATTATTTGTGCCATGAAGAAGCAGCAATAATAAAAGTTTGCGTGGAGTTTTTCTAAAGTATCAGGTCATGGGTGATGATGGGTTGGATCATTTAAGGTACAATGTGTTTTGTTTTGTTTTCCACATGTTGTCTCTCACACACACACACACACACACACACTCTGCTTAGACGGTGTGTTTTTACCACCGCATCACATTGGCACTGCTGAAAACCAAAATATCAATACATTTGGGAAGGTGAACAGGGATTGAAAAGCCAATGACAGATGTATCATATCAGAAAACATTCCAGTTTTTAAATCATCCTTCACAAAGTGGAAACAATCCATCGTCAATCTCTGAAGGGCTTTTACTTTAGTTTTTACTTTTTTTTGGAGTCTGACAAGGTGAAGAGTTGATTTGTTTGGCGCCTCAGTTTCAAGATTTCAAGTGAACAAACTGTGTGGTTTTTTTTTTTTTTGTTGTTGTTGTTTTTCATTGTGCCTGCAGCCGAGTGGTAAAATTCACAAGTGGTTCACACGTTCTAAACTGTAAATGTGTTCCGTCTTTGTCAGTGTACAGTATCCTTCATCTCACACTTACCCATCCGACGTGCATGGTTGTTTCACAGACCGGGAATTCACAGCAGAAGTCTTCATCAAAGATGTCTCTTAGGTCAGCGCTCCTCCTGGAAATGATTTAGAGATGATCAGTTTTTTTGGTCAAAACAGTAACAGACAAAATAGCAGATATATTTTTTACAATCTGTAGGGAAATTTAAATAATAAAGTCTCTAAATCTGTTGAATTTAAAAGAAGTAATCGTCTTGCTGCTTTAGGAAAGTTCACATTTGCGAACGTACAGTTAGAAATTAGCCAGTTTTTCTTTTAATCACAAACTGTGCAGTGAACAGTCTGACAGCAAAAAAAAAATAAACTGACATCTTTGAAACTGACTTGTGCTACAAATTCCTTCAACCAGAGAGGACTTCAGGCGGGGCGGGTTGTAAACCGCTCCCTCCTGCTTCCTCGGTTCGATCGACATGTGACGCTGTGTTTTATCGCATCAATATGATGTATGTATCTATAAATGTTTTCTTACTTTGTGAATGCTTTTTCTGTTGTTTCTTCATTAACTAAAAAGGAAGAGAAAATACAATCAGTAACAAACATTTACACGTGAAAATAAAATTTAAAAGCTTGCCACACAACCTCTTCTGCTTTCTGAGTCAAATAAACAGAAGTAAACTATAAACTGGTCGTGCTCTGTCGACTTTGCCTGTATAAATTAAATTGGGGAGGGGGGAGTAGTAACAAAATAAAACAATAATTACTGCTCTCATTCAGTGTTCTACCCATAAAAATTAGAACCATGTTTAAATCAACATCTCTAATATTGTATGATACACTCGTTTAACATAATTTTATTTCAGTAAATCCATATGTATTAAGCAAGAAAAGTGCTCATAAAGTAATATTTAATTCAGACAGATTTATTTTTCACTTACAGTCACTGTTTGTCAGGGTGGAGAGTAAAAAAATATGCTCACAAAAATTCCCAATTTATGCTACTTTATGCTTGTATTCCACAACATTTATTGGACGGCTTCAGTCACTAGTTTTCAGATTAGGAGTTTACAAACATCACCAGATGGTAATTTATAAGGAAGTTTTGCAGGTTGAACTACTATATGAAGCAGGTAAAATGAGCTCTAAAGACAAACTGTAGCAATGAGGTGCTAATTACAATGTATGAGGTCGTTCTGTTTAATGACTAGTATGGTCACAGTCCTATTAGGAAGTAT